ACCTGTAGAGTGCAACTGTATGGAGGAACTTGAGTGAATAAAGCACTGGAAGGGGCAGAAGCCCGTGGACATTCTTTATTTCTCCCCTCGACTGCATACGTCACAATTTTTCCCCCTCGCAACATAAAGATTTCTTGAAATCTATATTCTAGGAGTCAATGTTTGGAGTGTAAGAGTAAAAAGGAAACATTTTTCGTGGTGCGACTTGATACAGGGGATTTTCTGCTGGTAGAGAGGCAAACTGTGTTTTTCTGCTATTTTTTCAAATGTGCTCAAACAATTTGTACTGAGCCTCTTCCCTGAACTCTTGTCCCATTGGGGTCAGAACAGCTTTAATTAACTCAGCTGCAGGACACAGGACCAGCTGCTGCTTCCTAAAAGGTCTTAACTAGCCCCACCCAGCTGTGCCTTTGACCAATAAGCAACCTGGCCAGGGGGCCAAAGGCGACTGCCTTAGGGTCCGATAGTAATGCTGACCTCTGCCTTTAAATCACTGTTTTAAAGTGCCCACGCTGTGGAAACGGAAAATGCAAAAGATGGGAGAACAGGAGGGGCGAGGGGAAGACACAGCAAAACAGCCAATTAAGGAGGAGAGAGCTGAAGCCTGATTTAGGACCCAGGCAGCTGTAGCAGCCACAGCTGGTTCTGGGCTGTTCCATCACCATGGTAACCAGGGGAGCCTGGGGGGTGGAGCCTGGCTTCCTCATCAGGCCTTTTCCATTTTCCAGGGCTTCCCATTGGTCCTTCTTCTGTCACTCAGGCAGGGCCTCTGGTCCCGCCTCCCAGCCACTAACCTGTCCTTCCTGCTTCACTGTTGTCTGCCCCTGGAGTTGCAAGGAGCCTGCATTTTAAGAATGTGCACCTGAAATACAAGCAAAATCTGACTCCACAGGCTTCTCTGTTGCTGCCCTAAGCCTGACTTGCTCTGAAGCGAAATAACTTTGTGTGTGTGTGTCTCAACAGCTTCCTTTACAATCCTTCCTTTTGCTCTTTAAGTAATGTTCCGTTGAGGAGAGGTCACAAACATAGGCTGCTTATAATTTTGGAGACTATGGGAATGCGTTTTGCACCCCGCACACACCAAAGCCAGCATCTGAGATCTTTTCTCACAATGTTTGTGTGATGACCAAGAAATCCTTCTTCTCGTTCCTGACTACGTAATTGCAATAAACAAACAAATGTATACACAGGGATTTCTTTTAACCACATCACGTGACTTCCCAAATAGAATGAGTCCTCTACTAGTCCAAAGTAAACTAAATGGATCCAAATACATGATTCAATGAGGCTTATTTTAAAATTCCATAGTTGTATAATACTAAGTTAAACTTTTATTATGATTGTGTATCTTTCCAGTTATTTGGATCATCCATAGTCCTTAATTCATGAAATAATTAACATATGTCTTATTTTAATTCATATATTTTTATTTGCTTTTTTTTTAAGAGAGAGAGGAGAGAGAGAGAGAATTTTTTTTATATATTTATTTTTTAGTACTCGGCAGACACAACATCTTTGTTGGTATGTGGTGCTGAGGATCGAACCTGGGCTGCATGCATGCTAGGCGAGCGCGCTACTGCTTGAGCCACATCCCCAGCCCTTATTTGCTTTTAATCATTTTTCTTCAACAGAAAACACATAAGTTATATTTCTAATATATGCTCTTATGCTCTGCATTTTATGGTACAGATATTTAAGATAAGTGTGTTTGATTATAAAATATCTATTTCAAGAGATATAACCACCAAGTAATCTCTAATTCTCAAATTTTTATAATAAATAGATATGATTCTGTAAACAGAAATGTCCAACAGCTTTAACTATGTTTTCATTGAAAAACTTCTTATTAAGGTACAATAATTTGTTTAGATTCTAAGATTTACAAAAATTATTCCAAAGTACACATAAAGAAGGATTTCTAGAGAAGGAAAAGAAGATAGAGTGAGAGAGGGGGAGAGAGAGAGAGAGAGAGAGAGAGAGAATATTTTCAATATTTATTTATTTATTTATTTTTTAATTTTTGGCTGACACAACATCTTTGTTGGTATGTGGTGCTGAGGATCAAACCCGGGCCGCACGCATGCCAGGCGAGCGCGCTACCGCTTGAGCCACATCCCCAGC